TTTATTACATGTATATAATATATATATATGTATATTATATTTAAGATCGTTTTTCTTGAAATATTATGGTTTATGTAACATTATTGTATTTAAAATCGCTTTTCTTGAAATTAAAAAAAATCTGGAAGAAAAATCTAATTAATTTGAAATACCCCAAGTAATTGGTTTGCAGGCTATGGAGTACATGTTGCCAGTGTAGATAAGATTCAAGACCATGTGGCATAATGAAAAGATCTCTGAGTCCCAGTCCTGATCATTAATCCACTGTGTGTCATCTGATACTTCCAGGTATTGGCCTGCTATGCTGTATGTCAGGAAATTGAGCCCAAGATCATGGAGTAGTTAAGATCTAATAATATATACTTTATAAAGAGCTTCTCTCTTACTATTTTAAATAATCCTCCTATCTTCTGTGTTTTATTACCTTGTGTCTAACTATCACAACCAGTTAGTACATTTCTAAATAATGAGAAATTTAGGGAGGATTGGTTCCTGGTCTTTGAGTTATATTGGAAGAACCAGAATATAGTTGTTGATCAAAGAATAATTTTTCAAGAAATTATTTAATTATGACTGAACAACATTGTTGAGCACTTCCTCCAGCCAGCACTGTGTTGAGTATGGGAATTAAAGAGAGTATGAGGTGTTGTGCATCTTTGTATAAGGAGAGTTCCATGACCCATGAACAACACAGGATACCAAGTGAAAGGATACAGAGCTTCCTTATTTGGAGGTAGGAGGAGTTTCACTGAGAGCCTACAGGATTGAGGTTTGAATGGGCAGAGAAGATAGGATTTGCAAGGAGTAGAGCAAGATGAGGAACTGTCCTAGCTGGAATGAATCTCAGGGGTGAAGTAAAGATAAGCCCTGCCTCTTACCCCAGTAGCTACATTGCGCATCTTCGGGGACCAATTAGAAGTCCGCAGATTGTTGTTATTATTATTATTATTATTATTATTTGTTAATCCTCACTCAAGGACATTTTTCCATTGATTTTTTTTTTTTTAGAGTGAGGGTAAGGGAGGGGGAGAGACAGAGAGAGAAACATCTCCGTGAGAGGGACACATCAATTGGTTGCCCCCCACAAGTGCCCTGATGAGCCTGCAACCGAGGCACATGCCCTTGACCAGAATTGAACCTGGGACCCCTCAGTACACAGGCCTACCCTTTATCCACTGAGCCAAACTGGCTAGGGCTCAGTAGATAATTTTTATTTGTCCAAGGAGTGTAGTAGGTTTTGGGGTGAGTTAGGAGGTAGTTGCTATGACAAAGGCAGGAGTTCTGTGCCAGCTGTTTTGGAAGTACTGTGCAGGTGGAGTGACTAGAGGACAGCCAGGGCTTGTTCAAGGTGGAGGGGCTGCCAGTTGACCAGGGCAAGTTGCAGGGGGGTAGGAGTGGGAGACATTGTAAAGAATCCGCAAGAGGTGATTTGGATTATGGGGAGGAGAAAATATGGGCTAAGCTGAAGATGATAACTTCAAGGATTTGAACCTGGGTACCTAAAAGCTCAAGGCCTAAGGAAAATACTGTGCTCCCAGCGGACAGCTGCTTCAGAGCATGGAAGTGCTGCCGAGCATTTTCACTTGCAGTTCTATAGAGGCCGATGTGTCTTATTGTTGTTTGGCATCATGACCTTTATCAGGGGTGGGGAACGTCCGGCCCCTGGGCTGTCTAAGGCCCGAGAAATTATTTGGTCTGGCCCTGCCAAGGCAGCCACAGGCAGGACTCGAAATTCAATAAATCTAGGAGCTTTTTTCATAGCAACATAAATATATATTAAGTGAATAATATTATAAATAACCAAATGGCCCTTGGCAGAAAAAAGGTTCCCCACCCCTGATCTATATAGAGATTGATTCTCTCCCCCTGCCCCTCTTCTAACCTTATTTTCTCAGAAATAATATATCCCATCTGTCTACATAGGTGAGAGACCCTACCTGTGTGACTATCCTGACTGTGGCAAAGCCTTTGTTCAAAGCGGACAGCTCAAAACGCACCAGCGCCTTCACACGGGAGAGAAACCTTTTGTTTGTTCAGAAAATGGTATGATGTTGGGAGTTAAGTTTATGTAATAACTAGTAGTGAGTTAGTAGTTAAAAAATAACTTTTGCTTGAATTTTTTGGGAGGAGAGATTTCTTAAATCAAGATTTTAGAAAACACCATGTTCAATTTCTGAGGAAAGATTGATTTTTAAAATATTTTTAGGTGAAAATCTTAAAAGGCAAATAAAAATACTATATTCAGTTGTAGGCAGTAGAAAAATCTATGAAAGTAAATACAGCCTTTAGAGTAGGCTTTTTTGTTGATTTTAAACATTTTATCTGTTAAACTCAAGAAAGCATATTGTCTGCGTTTTCAGTGAAGGGGGAAACTTTTCCATTTTATACTTTATTTTTTTAAAGTATATTTTATTGATTTTTTACAGAGAGCAAGGAAGAGGGATAGAGAGTTAGAAACATCGATGAGAGAGAAACATCAATCAGCTGCCTCCTGCACACCCCCTATTGGGGATGTGCCCGCAACCAAGGTATATGCCCTTGACCGGAATTGAACCTGGGACCCTTCAGTCCGCAGGCCGACGCTCTATCCACTGAGCCAAACCAGTTAGGGCGAAACTTTTCCATTTTAACACGCCACTGTTAGTAATTTCTTGTCACTTTTCTGAAGTGATTTTCTTAACCTCTTACCACAGTTTCTTAAGATGTTTTTCTTGTGTACATTTTTAGGCAGTTATAATTAAAATTCAATGCAGTTCTGTTTTGTAGCTCTGTGGTTTTCTTATTATTGTCAGTTACAGATGTCTCAGGCTTTTTATCTAGTGAATTTGCTGAAGCATATACTAGTTATATCTGGATTTCTGCCCTAACCTCACATTGTTCAAGAGTCAGCTGTGCACACTGATTGCCTTATTGCTATTGAATATTTAATTTGCTTTAAAAATTGTTTGTGACCAACAAAGCTAAAGGTCACGTTTTCCTACTTAAACTTTGTTCAAGCTTTGTTCATCTTTTGGGATGTTGCCTTATGAGAGAGCCTGAGAATAGAATCCCAGGGTCGGAGGGTTTGACCATATTTATGACTCATGCAAATGAATCACTTCCCAGGGAGGTTGCGTGCATCTATAACGCAGTGACCCAGAGGTGAAAGACCATCGCCCGCCCCCCTCATGAGCATTGATAAATACTGTGCTTGGGGTTTTATTTCCTCCTCCACGTTAGAGAATGCTGTCTCATGGTCTGTCCTACTTTTCCTGGTTCCCTGAACGTTTCCCATGTGGGCCGCAGTCCCGATGCTAATGGGTGTTTCCCTCTGTGCTGTGTAGGCTGCCTGAGCAGATTCACCCACGCCAACCGCCACTGCCCCAAGCACCCTTACGCCAGGCTGAAGCGGGAGGAGCCCACCGACGCTCTCAGCAAGCACCAGGCGGTGGACAACCAGGCTGCTGCCGAGTGGTTGGCAAAGTAAGGCTCCCCGGGACCACGGCCACCCCGCGCGTGGGCTGACGGGACTTCCGAAGTTCTCTCATTTTGAATAAGTTGCTTCTATACACATTCTGTGAAATATCTTGAATGGTGCTTTATTTCTTAAACCACAGGAGTGTTATTAGGACCTGTGTGTGATAGAAAACTATATGGTATTAATTACTCTTGAGTAATTAATTGTCTGTACCACAATGTATTTTAAAAGCAAGAGTTTTCCCTCATTTAAAAAGGATATTTAATGCATATTTCATTTGTTAGTGCAACGCCTCTTCATTTTCTTATATTAGAGTTAGATCTGTGCTGTCATTGTGGGGATATATGTATATCCATATTTCCCCATATCTGTAGATACAGATATACATATATGGGTAGAGCTATATAGAGAGAGATGTTCCAAGAATCACCCAGTTTAATTTTTTTTAATGGCAGCGAGGGGGGCGGGCAGTATAAAAACTGTTCCCTAAGGGTATTTTGACGTAAGGAGTCATCTCTTCTACACTAACCGCCAGCTGACGGTGCCACCCCCTCGCTCTCTGGGCTCCCTCTGCCCTTGGGACAAAGTCTAAGCCCAGTGCTGCTGCGCTCTGCCTCCCTCCCTCCCTCCCTCCCTCCCTCCCTTCCTTTCTTCCTATTATTGATTTCAGAGAGAAAGGGAGAGGGAGAGGGAGAGAGAGATAGAAACATCAATGACGAGAGAGAATCATTGATAGGCTGCCTACTGGGGATTGAGCCGCAACCCGTGCCCTGACAGGAATTGAACCCCAGGCCCTTCAGTCTACAGGCTGATGCTCTATCCACTGAGCGAAACCAGCTAGGGCAATGGGTGCTATTTTTTT